CCCACGAGCATCTCCAGTAGATTGATAGTATCTTTCTTCATGGTGACTTCGTGGCAAAGTTGAGTTCCATAGCCTGGAAATAAACTTCCATAGTTCATCATCCACCTGCATTGACTACTAAGTTGATAATTTGCCCAACACAGGCTTTGCGTGGCCGTCAGCCCGGTTCTCCTGGTACTTGGAGCCTGTGAACTCAAGGAAGATCGACATTCGCAGACGGTCGACGGGCAGCTAGTCGTTGTAGCAGTACTGTGATGCATCTCACAGGTGTGTTTAGGAATTGGAAGCCGATGCTTACTCTGAGATCCGTCACCTACGTACATCTGAAAGTGGCAGTCCGACTGGCGCAGCCTAAATCCTTTGCAATTGCCCCGTCAGAGTGTCAGTGTCTCCAATTACCACGTCGAAGGTAGCGCTCTACCTACTGCTGAATCACCGTGTCATAGGTCATGACTGCGCTTGAGGACACTGTTGGCGAGTTCACGGAGTAGCGTTCGGTTATAGTGAAGGTTTGACTGACAGTACTCTGGTATAAGAGTTTGAGAATCTACCCCAACGATCCGAGGGTCTGGTTTGATGATTACAGTAGAGGAACTCTTTTGGAACCCGAAGAATCCGATTTAGCATCCTGAGAATCTGGGTTGAGGAATATAAAGGGAATGTGGAAGCGCAATTTCGGGGCGCGAAAGAAGCAAGTAGTTTAGTTGTAGGGGAGCCGTCTCAGGGTATGGGAAAGCTAAAGAGGTGCCTGGATACTCGTTTGGCAAGTGTCATTCTCAGCCTGAGGAGGTCTTTGAAGGGGGCTAGCGGAGAGTCGGGCAGGCCTTACTCGAGCAGGAACCCATGTATGACCTAGTGAAAGCTCCGTATTCGTATATTATATGAGATACCTCCTCTGGCTACTGACGAAACATGTGAAATATGTTGAAGAAGTAGCTAAACAAGGCCGAAGCATGGCTCTAGTGTGTTTGAATCAGGGCAGAATGCTAAGAGTCAGAGAGGCAACTGCCTTTCAGGCGGTTGGGTGAGCGGTCATCAAAGCATTGCCATAAAGTACACAAATGTCCAGTATCACGAAAGGTACATACGGCACTGCTTACACCCGAGACTACCTAGCGACTATATGCAGCGGATATAATGCCAAAGGAGTACCGGTATTGTGAAAGCCCGGGCTATGCGGATAGAAGGAGGCGTTCTACGTAGTTCCCAGGCGCTACGTGGTAGTGTAAATGCAGCGTTGGCCAACTTCTATAACGACGAGAAACGACTGGAGGCTACGATGCACAAGAAGTCAACTTCAGATAGGTCGTGGTCCGAAAGCCCTGTTTATTCAACTCGGAGGCTTCTTACCTCCTGAGGTTGAAGGTTCACAAACGAAGCCAAACCTCCCACGGGCCTTACCCAGGGACTCGGGACCATGTGTAACACACCCAGAACATATTCGAGAGACAGAGTCTCGGAATTTTTGCGAAAGGGAAAGAGCTTCGGGAGGGAACGTGATCCTTGCTGTCGCCCAGCAGACCGGTTTAGCGGAGAAGTGACCCCTCTGAAGAAGATCCTTCACTGTTTCCTTTTCATTTAGCTTCACTGCTAAGAGTCGTGTCCAAGGGACATAAGGGTGCTGGGGACGGGACAGTTCAATTATGGCATTTCCAGCTCTTCTCCTATCCTGTCGAGAGAATCGGGGGTACGGCCAGCGATGAGGAGGGCGCCGTGACAAGGCTCGCCGAGCCGACAAGTGCCATGAATGTGACAGGCGGCATGACAGGGGTGGTAACGCACACCTCCAGATTCTAATGATGACTTTGCAGAAGATCCAGCTGGTGCTCCTCATGTGTATTGGATGGTTGAGTTCGAACCCCTCATTTTGGCCGCCTTGGGTGGTGGCGGAACCCAGGCACACAACAGAGAGCACTTCAGGGGGCATGCCTCCAACGCGTGTGCTAAGATACCATAAGTGACGAGCATCGTGATTACTTTCTTTCATGTACCCCGAGGAGAGGAACAGGATTTCGGTCGTATTGCGCTAGCATTGTCGCCTGCCGGATAGGTTGGTTTGAACTTAGGACGTAATTGGCATCCATCTCGGGGAATGCAGACCAATATAGCTGCGTTCCTTTGTGCCAGTAGCATCCTCCACATACATCCCGGCGACTCATAAAAGATCTTTTCTGACAGAGACAAGTAAACGGAAGGAAACAGTCCAACAAGGCGGAGAAACATGTTTCGGCAAAGGCACTCGAGCATGGCAATGGCCCTTCCTACACATTGTTGCAGAACCTCTAGCCGCGATTGGTGACGGAGGAGGCATACTATATGTAGCTATCCTCACACGCGAATGTGTCCATAAACAGCTACCCAGTGAAACATCCGTGTATAAATGCCGCGGTTCGTAGCGACCTGAACGTGGCAGCTGAGCGACCCCCACAGGGCTTTCTCGGGCCTTGTTTGTCTCCTCCCTCGGTCAAGATGGTTTTGGTCTAGCTGTCGACCACCCTTGAACGCTATTACAACACTCTCGAACTTCTCCAGGGCCCTTACGGCCGAAACAATGACTATGATCTCCGGGGCTAGACTACAGAAGTCGCGCTACGATGCTCGAGATGTCACGTCGGCGCCCGCCCGCCGACCTGATCTGATGTCTCTGGCCTGCAGGACGCAGTCTGACGGTGAGCACGTAGTGAGACCAAGAAAACGTGTCCCATCTTCGTGGACGGGAGAGCACACCGAGGACCCTCCGAGATCTTCCCCGGGCCTTCGTGGTGCTCACATCTCAATATTCACAATAGGGGCTTCGACCAGGTCTTCCCGATCCGTTAACCTCTGCGTCACCGTCTCGGCTCTTCTGCCCCCCTTGTAAGTTTACACTTCAAATCAGACATTCATCTCGCCTTGGCACGCGAGATAAGCAACAGGTATTTGTCCACTTTCCAAAGGGGGGGCCAGAGGGCGGAATCCAGCATGTCTTCGAGCTTGGACACCCGGTCTCCATATCGAAGCGGATTCGGTATAGCAAAGTGGCGCTCTCTGAGTACCTTGTTATCCCAAATAGAATCAGAAATGTCATGACGGAGCGTCAGAGTCAAAAACGTCGACCGCTGTTTAAGGTTTTGACTAGTTTCTCGATCGTGACATTTCTGATCCAGAATAACAAGGACAGTCGATCACGTCGTTTCCCCCTCCCCAAAAAACTTGGGCTAACGGGCCGCGCCGAAACCACCGCCCTGGCAGGATCAAGAAATCGAGCCGGTGCAAAGCCCTGGGATTGCTTTTCTTTCCATTCCAACGGGTGTGGCTTGGCCGTTTGCAGAGGAACCGCGTCTCGCGGATCTGGTCTCGTCCGAACGCCTCGCGCCCCTGTGTTCCTTTCGTCAATCCCAATCTCGAGCCAGGCCCCCCCTATGTATCATCCCACCGAGGGCTCTTTTTTGGTGCAAGACATACCTACAACAATGACTCGGACCGCTCACCGAACTTCCTATTCCAAGCCGGCCCAGTGTTATCTCAATGGAACATCAACTGACGGCCAGCAGCCTTCTCGGCGGTCCACTTCGTTGTGATGTAAGCGACGAAGTGCAAATTCCGCCTTCATACGGGGGCCTATCGACGGTACGAATATATGACCTTTGTCTCGCCCATTGATCCCCCACAAGTTGCCACGTCGTACAATGTCACACAGCGTCCGGAGAACGGATGGGTCGTATGTCCCACCTCGCAAGCTCGCGGCGCAGCGGGCATGGGAATAAGCGCCCGAACGGGAACGTAGCAGTGACGATCTGCTTTCTTTTTGGGAAAAATGCCCAGGAATGGCAACGGCAGATAGGAGTCGGCGTTGACGTCTTCGAAACCTATCTGTACTTTCATTGTCCAAGGCTGCCGACTCCGGCATGGACTCCTCAAGTCAACAACGGAAAACCCCGTGTCCGCGACTGGGTTCACTCACTAGTCTGCCACCCCTGGGTCTTCCCATGCCCTCACAAAATCCTTCTTTCCCACCCTATTCACCTCAAAGGCGGGACACATTTTCCGCGACTGGCCGAATCTTTTCGATAGTCTTACTCAAACCCCGGTTGTTGGTGAAGCGTACCTTAGTCTTACGTTAGTCTAAATCTGTAGTCGCGTTAACTTCCCTTTGGATAACTTTCAGTGGTTGTGAGTCTGATTTTACCGGATTTCTTGATGCGGACCTCGTCTCGCGGTCTCCATGGCAGACCACAACTGGTCAAGGCTCGTTCCAAGAGCCATGGCGACGGGACTCCCCAACGGCTCCTAGTTGGACCTCGAGCTACAGTTTCGGTTTTAGTTGGACTCACAAGTGATTTGCGCAGTAGGACGTTCTATACTGTAATGGAATCCACCCGTTCCACTGGAAATCTTACCCTTTGTATCGACCAGCAGCCTCAACCACCTACAGCCAATTCGACTCCTCGCCGCACTCATCCACGACGCTCACAAAGTCCCTAATGATAGTTTTCAAGTTGTCAAACTGTGAAAAAACGGGGTAAGCTGGCTTATACCCGGTCTTGGCCCGTCGAGCCCCGTTGGTTGTACAATGTCTCCTTGGCCTTGGAAGGCGTGGCGGATATTCCGGACACTTTCCCCGTGGGATTGTGGATACGCACGTCTGATAACTTGCATATTCAGATCTTCGACCCATGTAGGCGAAATGGTCATCACGGTAAGTATGTCAAGAAAGGCACTGTGCCGTTGCCAGCCGGGTAAGTCGATGACAAGCAGGGGAGGCCGCCATGCTTGGGCCTAATGTACTATCAAGCCATTGCGCGAACATGATTCGAGGACACATTCCTATGATGTGAAAGTTTGGCTAAACCCCTTGGGTCAAATAAGGTAAGTAAGTATATGAAATCAAGGTTACTAAGGGAGTAAAACATGAAAGTGTCCCAAAACAGTTCAAGTTGCGGTGTATGTCATTCCGTTGGCTCTGACCAGCTTCACTCTTCTGTTATCATACGATCTCGTAACCGCTTTGCGTTGGGCGGTCATCGTCCTGCAACCTTTGGTCCGATCCTGCAAGTCATTTTCGACGAGGGCTGCATGAGGCGCTCCTTGAGCCAGATAGTCAACGCTGTCGTCAGCCAACCACGTTGGAACAGTGCCTCACCGGGATAGCCAAGACTGCCGGTCTACCCAGTCATCCTCCATCGTCAGTCTGAGGAGATCCTTGCCGACCCCAGTTATAAATAAGAAAGGAATTTTCGGCCCTCGTGCTCGTGGACGGTTGTATGGTGTCAACAATTTTTTTTCGAATCACACCTTTGCCAACCATTTCCAGCTGCGTTTCGTACACAACCACCGGACAAAGCAGCAACTCGCAAGCGCCATTGCGAGGACTATCGCAAGAAAGACAATCATCAAGCGAGGGCGGCTGCCCTCACCGTCTCCTAGGACAGCCTGACTGGCTGGGTTGCCGACCAAGGTTGCCAGACTCACAACAGCATAGCAGCAGCCGATGTATGTGCCACTGTCTTGCGGGTCGCAGAGTCGTCCGAGACATGTAGCAGCCGTCGACACAAAGCTACCGGTACCGAATCCAAGACAAAAGGCCACGGCATAGAGCGTAGGCGCGGATGTGTCTCCGAACGCTAGCCACAACACAAGCATGACCGCCTCTGTGAATATTGTCATGAGTATAGTCACATTGAAGGGGCCTATTTTATCGGTGAAATATCCAGGAACAATCCTGCCGAAGGAAGACCCCCTGAGAAAGCATAAGCTGAAGAACCAAGCGCCGGCCCTGAGATTCCACGGCGATTAAAGGGGGTGGTGAACTTACACACTGAAGACAAGGATCAAGTAGAATACATCGCCGAGCTTGACTATTCTGGCATACGTGGGCAGGAGACCCCACGCTACGAACAGCACCAACTCGAAGCCTGCCATCACATTGCATTAGGGCTACTGATACTTGATAAAGTTGGTGTGGTACAGCTGCCATACCGCATACGCTGAAGGTGAAGAGGACAAACTTCCAACGCCTGAAGCAGGCAAAGTCCCACATCTTTCCTTTGCGAGCCTTGAGTACTCTGGGCCTCGTCAAGGCGCACCCGAGGGATAAAAAGGCGCAAATTATGGCAAAGTGGATGAGGCTTGCCGTCGTCCACTCGAAGTTCTTCGTGGTGAACCGAAGCACCACGGAGAAGATCACCCCACCCAGTCCTCCACCCATGGTGCAAATGCCCATGGCCAGTCCCTTCTTGTCGTCGAACCAATGATTAATAACGGCTAGCGCAGTGGTGGTCAAAGCCGCTACGTCCGTAATGTTAGGATAATTCTTGACAGTTACGCTTTGCCCGAGATGGACAAAGAACCTACCTGCACTTATACCGGCAGCACAGAAGCAGACCATGAATTGCCAGTATTGACTGCTGAAGGCGACGCCCAGGAAGGCCGCGCTGTACACAATTGTTGCGGGGGTCACGAGCCATCGGGGCCCGAACGTGTCGAACAGGATGCCAAAGGGGCCGCAGAGTAGAACAGATAGAAACCCAAAGATGGATATAATCCAGGATATGTCCGTGTTAGACCACGGAGCAAGCTGGTTTTCCTTCCAATACACCTGAAAGATGCCCACGGTTGTCATTAGACCGAACGTCGGGATCATAAACGCCGTTGATCCTACAAGAACGGACCAAGCCCTCCATCCACCGTCTACGGGCTCTCTTGATAGCACCTTGACCTGGTCGTTAGAGGCATGATGTACCGTCGAAGGCTGCTGAGTCTGGGGCAACGTCGGGCGTCGGGTTATGGCAACGGGGCTGGAGTGAGAAACGGGTCGCAGCGACGGCAATCTGCTCAAAGGGACGTAAGTCAGGTCAGTCAGGTCCGCTAGAAGAAACAAGGAGGAGAGCTGAGGGGTCCATGAACATGCCCTATGCCTGTTTTATGGCGGAGTGACGGCATGCCACACGCCCTGGAGCGTGTGGTTTCCTCGACATCCATGTTTGGACCGGCCGCTACCTGAGACACTGATGCTGTACGCTGATCGAGCTGACTTGGTCTAGACACGGCCATGGCTGTGGTAGGTACTTGATAATATCTGATGGTTCTTTTCTGTCTTTTTTTCCCTCCTGTTCTTCAGAGAGAGACGACAACAGTAGATACACCAGTCTGGCACATAAGCTTCATGAGGGTTGGATCAAGGGTAACGGGCTTCTTTAACACTATGTTCAGCCGTGCCATCTCTTTCTTTGTAAGCTGTAAACCAACACAGCTACGGGCAATCCCCGGACACTTTCCACCTGATTTCACTCAGACCAAGCTTGGGAATGCAATTTGCTGTTGGCGTAAGTCCGGCAACTCCAAGGTTGGATCAGCGGGAAGCCCAGGCAAGGGCCCACACCTGGTCCAACCGAACGTTTGTTGTAGTTTAGAAGTATCACAGGAGACCTAGCCTTGACTCGTTGAGAGAGGTAGTTGGTATATCCCATGCAATGTAACTGGACTCATGCTGTTAGACAAAGGCCAGTATCATAGCATGGTGTACTTGGCCAGGACATTCGTTTCGAGTGCATGATATACGGAAGTCGGTGTGCAACAACAGCAGCTCAGCCGGCACTGCATTGTCTTGGGTTTGTGGAGAGTTTCTAGGGCGCCAACCGCTGGCTCTCGAGGGATTTTTCTCGGAGGTGAGATGCTAGACAAAGGACTAGCATGTGTGACCAGACACTCGGTAGCTAATAGGAAGTCAGCGTTTGACGATGAGGGAGAGTGGACCAAGCCAGGATATATGCAAATGCAGCTCGATTTGGATATTGCGCAGATGAATGCGTGTATAGGCGTGATTTCATGGGCATATCACTTGCGCGAGACGTGGCAATAATGCAAGGTAGTGGTGGTACCTCTCGCCTCAAGCGCCGCGGGGAAGTGTAGTAAGGGGTTGCCGCCATCATGCCTCGAGCTACTGTGACTGAATGCACAGCTAGACTGCCACCCTGCGTAGCAACTTCCTAGTCATCGGAAGTAAAACCGTTAGTAAAAGATACCCCGAGTTATGGCGAAGTAGAGGAAGGTTACACAAGACGAGGTTGTGTTGCGCTTTCCGAGAAGTCATAGCAAACAGTCTGCTTACTCCTGGGTACAGTACCTACCTTCCGAGTCGCCTTTAGTTGGCTGAACAGGAAGTTCATCAAAAGAAGGAGGACCTGGCCGTGACTTTCCGTTGAGCTGGTAGATACCCATTCCGTTGAAGGAAAATTCTCCGTGTAACCTGTTTGCTGAAGGCTGATCTTGGTGTTTGCCTTCCGCCCCCTGCCACACTGTTGGTTGTTCACCAACGGTTATGGACGGCGGTAGATCGAAACGCCCTCTGTTCTTTCCAATCTGGCCATATGTCGAGACAGTTCTTGCAGGAGTGAAATATGCCAACACCTCCACTACCTCCCCCTCCCTCGTCCCGTCCTGCATCGGGATATCTCTCAGAGATTTCTTATCTGATGATTACAACACCTTTTTCCATCTGTCAGTTCCGACTCGCTGCATCGAACTTCCACCAACGCACTATTCCACAACCTCTCGTGCTGACCGTAGTCATACGACAAGACGCTGGCAGTGATAACCCGCATATTGGCCAAGCCTAGGTCATTTCAACCGTCTCGTTACGGCTTGCTGTTAGGCACGGCCGAATATTTCCGCAACGCCCACGGAACGGCGACCGTTCCCTGGGGCTTTGGCTGCCCAACGTGCCCCCAAGACTAGGAAAACTTTAACACAATAATGTTGTCGTTGTGTATACCGGTTCGGGCAGCGGCTCGCTTTATCCAGGCAACACAGCGTGGCCAAGGAGCTCGCTGGATTGCCACTCCATCTCGTTTGCAGGCAGCTCAAGCCGCGGCCTCTGAAACGGTTATCGAAGAACCAATGTACCACGATCATGTTGAAGACGTATCAACATCAGACCGAGGCAGACGAGACGAGTTCTGGCGCAGGATCCCATGGTGGCAAGATATATCCACAGAGGACTTCCTGAGTTATCGTTGGAGCGTAAGTTGACAGGTCTCTCCCTCCTCAATTGAGTTTCCTATTGCATTCTGACACCGCCCCCATGTTCAGAGTAGAAACATGGTCGAAAGACTTCCGAAGCTGCGAGGCTTTCTTGATGCGACCTTGCCCGATTACATCCCTGTCCGTGGTTCCAGCAGTGAAATGGAGCCTCGGAACGAGCTTGTCAACGACGTCCTCGCAGGAATCAAGAAGGCAACCATGTCTGTTCGGCTTACGTGGGTTGAATATTAGTCGATATCAGGCGGAGGTGCTAATTCGAGTTGCCACAGCCCGTATGTTCTCAGTCGTATCGACTGGACTGACCCTCGCAACGATCCCATCTTTCGCCAGTTCATCCCGACTCAGTCATCGATGGTACCGGATCATCCGCGGCTGACACTTGATTCTCTGCACGAAGAGGCCGATTCACCAGTCCCTGGTCTGGTCCATCGGTACCCAGATAAGGCTTTGTTTCTCCGTAAGCTCTACCAACAGACATATGCCAAGCACGACCCTCCTTGATGTATTGGCTAACATCAATCTCTCCGAAGCCGTGTCCGTCTGTCCGACATACTGCATGTTTTGCACTCGCTCCTACGCAGTAGGAGCCAACACCGAAACCGTCGACAAGCATTCGTTCAAGCCCATCCTTGCCAGATGGGAGAAGGTGTTCCAGTACATCGAGAATACACCGGATCTACAGGACATTGTAGTCTCTGGAGGCGACTCGTATTACTTGGCGCCTCACCAAATCGAACTGATTGGTGACAGACTGATCTCGATGCCCAACATACGTCGCTTCCGGTTTGCCTCAAAGGGACTTGCCGTTTGCCCGACTCGCATTCTTGATCCCAACGATACTTGGGTAGATGCCCTTGTCTCGGTGTCCAACAAGGCAAGGAGGGCTGGCAAGGCGGTGGCGCTGCACACCCACTTCAACCACCCCAATGAGATCTCCTGGGTCAGTGAGGAAGCTAGCCAGAAGCTCTTCGAAGCCGGGGTCGTGGTGCGAAACCAGACCGTGCTACTCCGCGGGGTCAACGATGATGCAGGCACCATGTCAATGCTCATCCGCAAGTTGGCGAATAATAACATACTCCCGGTAAGGTAACCCCCTCCCTGAGATGCCTGTTGTGCAGGACTGACGGGACTAGTACTATGTCTATCAGTGTGATATGGTCAAGATGGTGGAGCACTTGCGAACGCCTCTGCAAACGATTCTCGACTTGGAGTCCAAGATCAGGGGTTCGATTGCTGGTTTCGTGATGCCGCAGTTTGTAGTGGATCTCCCTGGAGGCGGTGGCAAGCGCTTGGCAAGCACTCATAGATCATACGACCGCAAGACGGGTATATCAACGTATGTGGCACCTGCAGTGACGGGCCGTGACAAGGAAAACAAGGTGTACGAGTACTACGACCCTGTCGACTCTCTTCCCGAGACCCAACCAACCGATTTTCTGGATGGGGCGTCCCGACACATTGGTTGAGTCCGGTCCAGACTCTGCGAGTCGGCTCAATATAACTTCCGAAACTATGGACATGACGGTCATCTAGAGTATCTATCAGCTCTGCTACGACATCTTATGAGTGGGAAAGAGGTGGCATACGCGGGATACGGATGAGGGCCCTTGTCCACAGCTTGGCGGGATTGAGGCGTTCCTTTCCTTGTTCATACAACGTATCAAATCCCGGCACCAGACCCAATGGCCGTTCTGGTCTTCAACTGCATGGCTGGTGACTGCCACTGTTGGTTGTGGTTACAAAGAAGCCGGCGATTGGTTGCAGACCGCGTATAGGCTTATGTAAGGCCAGTGTGATCACCGTGTGTGACGAGAGACGGATGTTGATGGCTGGGCAGTGCTATAATGACCATGGAGAGGTGAAAAGTTTTCTGATGGGAGAGGTTTCAACCATCTCATACGTCTATATATATATATAAAGAGCAGAGTGCCCAGAGCTGATCTGATAGTCTCATGTTGTGAAACCTTGATATCGTTCCATTCGGAAGTTTTGCTATTGTGTAGAAAGGAACCGCCCGGTACGATGACAGTCATATCATGCGCTCCTGAAGGACGATCTGAACTGAGCCGGACACAGTGTCTGGAGAGAGAAGGGCAACATTGATGTTTGCTTGTCAGGGGCCTCACACCCTCTCAGTCTAAGCTGTTGTTTGGCGGCTGAAGGCTGCCAAGGTGAGATTTCCTAATAGGACGTCAAGCATATGCTGTTGGTTTGTCCTGCAGCCTCATTGCCATGATGGGCAATCGGTGTGATGAAAGAGGGGTAAAGTGTTGCGACTTCATATCAGATGGGTAGAAGAGCAGGAAAGACGGGTACGGCAGCCTGGAAACTATCTCTCTTTTATTCAGAGATATTTCTCAAGGAAGGAAGGGAGCAGCGGAAGAGATAACAGTCATGTTCGAGGAGTAGTACTACGTAACTACTTTAGTGTATCGCGAGTTTCTCATGTCTTGAGACCTTCTACTACACCCCTGCAGAATGAAGTTTTCTCTCAATATTCTAGTAGACACCTTCGATTTGTTTGCTGCCTGCGTGAAACAGCCTCCTGGCATGTCACCCCCTCTCCTGCTGCATTCCAAACACGCAAGAACAGCCCACACGGTGACAGACTGAGAGACATACCAAGACAACGTCAACAAATGACGTGCAGCTCCTCTTCCATCCTACAAGGGCGTAGAATCAGATTCAAAGTGAACGGAGTAATAATGCAATTTCATTGGTAGGCCGGGTTGTCCTACGGATAGTAACGTCTAGTCGCGGCGCGTGGATTGCCACCCCGCCCCCCCCCCCCCCTGAACTCGCACCCGTCGACAGTGAAGGAGCCTGGAGGAGGGATATACGAAATGAGGTTTCTCTCGGGACTTTTCCCACTCACCTGACGTTTATTTCCGTCTTCTCGTTTCCCAGAAGATTGGTTTCCATGGTTCGCCAACGGTCCCCCCCCTCCCAAACAAAAGATTTGTGTTCCATGTCTGATGTAACATTCCCGGAGGCTATGAGAAAAGGCGGGGGTGTTAGCTGAGATGAGGTTAAGATTGGCTTTTCTCCGTCTTCACTCGTCGTGTTCTTTTTTCCTTTAGCGACGTTGCATTGGCATAGTTCTGGAAGCCCCCAGCTCTGTTCATAGTGGCGATGGGTACGGTAGAGGGCCATTGCACAAAGTACTATGCTCGTGGGATGGAGTTTGGCACGAACATGCACGCTCACCGTTCTGGGACTTTAGCATTGTGAGCACAATCGAGCGCAGCGAATCTTATTTTCTTGCTGATCTGCCGAGAACCACGGTCATTGGATCTTTTGTTAGTTTCTAGACTTCTCTCTGGCTGCAATATTTTAGGCGGGAACTCGGCCGTTGAGCGAAATGGACCAGTCGCATGCATCTTGGAAGACGAAGAAGGCAATATCGGCGCGTGGCGGCGAGCTAAGAAAGAGGAGGGAAGCAGAAAAGATCCCGAACGTTTTCGTTGGAGAGTGGCAGTGGCTTTGACAACGGGGAAGACGACAAGCCACATAGAAACTTGACTCAGTTTCGTCGATAACTTCACCTCCTCCTCAGACTCCCCTCGGTTACTACATTTTCAATCCATCTGACCACCGGACACTTTTTTTTGACTTCGATGTTCCGAATCCACAGGAAAGGGGACCAATTGCCTTTTTCGAACGAATGATGCCCCTTTTAGGAACGGAGAGAAGCTTAGTTTGAAGAAAAAGGCTGAAGCTGCGCTCAAGCCCTCGTACGACCAGACATCACAATGACTCGCCATTGATTGCTTTCTTTCCCAAAAGGAACGGAAGAGTACGGAGTACAATATTCGTAAAGAGAATAGAGATATGTGCGACTCAAGCGCTAATTACTTCCGTGTACATGTCTTATTCCGCGTCGAGGCAGCATGGCAAAGAACTTCGTGTGGAATGGCGACAATCTCGTACCACGCGGATTTTCACTCGTACGGACGAACCCACAGGACAAACTTCGAGGGAGCAGCTCACGTTGAAAATGAGAGTAGGCGGTGAAGAATAGACCCGTTGCGCAGTTGCTTTTCCGTTAGAGTCGCGAAACATGCCGCATGCGCGTAGCAGGTGCGAAGAAGTAAAGAAACACACGTTTATAGGCAGGGAAGAAGCCGCGTAGAAAAAAGCAGTTTGCCAGGTTTCGAAAGGCCCGCCGGTACAGACTGTCAGACAGGCGCACACACCGAGGGAACCCCCCTTCCCTCGACCACCCTGGGACCAGTAAAGTAGGATATCATTCAACTTGTGCCGAAGACCCTGCTTGAAGAACCCTGCTTTGCCAGCGAGGGCATGTTTGCTTGTTTTTTCGGGCTTCGTCGACAAGCGAGGCATGCGGTGAGGCCCTCCCCTCGGGCATACCGTCGGTGCGGGAGACCCGAAGTTGGAGAAAATAGCGGAACGGGTGGGCAACGAGGGGGGAAGGGGAATCGTTTCTCTTCGAATCGAGTGCCAATCGATCAGATGAGTTGACATGATCATCAGTGGGTATTCTGGAAGATGCCGAACCTGCGGTGTGGACATTGCGAATCTCTGTCAGTTCTTCTGTCGTTGTATCAACAGTTGATGAACAGACAGGCTTCGATCACGAAAGCGGTCAAGCGTTGCTTTCGTCGCCAAGGTCCAGACTCGCCTCTCGTTCCTCCTTCACGCTAAGAATTTCTGCAGGGACTGATGGAGGCCAGCCATGGAGAGATGAGGCTCCGTTCGATGATGACCTACGAACAACCTAGTAACCCAAATTATCGACAATTAGATGCTGAAACGGAGAACCCAGGAAGCGAATAGGTCCCGCGATTCTCTGGGGGTCTAGCGCTGTGGAGGAGTCTGGGAGGAAGAACAGAGCTAGGATGAGGATAGCAACGGGGCCTCATCGGGTCTTTCGGCTCTCTCTTGCGCGCGGAAACATGGGCGAGGAATAAAGCGATGTTTTGATTTTTTTGTGTGTGTTTCGTGATCATGGACGAAGCGACAACGTGTTTGTCAAAGGATGGACCCGAGAGACGATATACGGAGAAAGCATATGATTCCGTACTCGTACGGGGGCCATGGCTGCAGGCAAGGGAAGAAAAAGACTTCCAAAAACGGGAAGAAAAAGGAGTCAAATTGATGATGCACAGGGTGACGTTGACTCGTTCTCGGCCGAGGGGCCCCGCCAATCTTCACAATCCGAGTCGTGCGTGGCCTTTGCGAGCCCCGGGGCCAGGTTGTAAATTGGTGTTTCAACGAAGAGAAAACCTGCTCGATATTTGCTGTAAGAAACCCTCCAAATTTAGCTCTCGACAACCCTGAACCTTCTCTGTTCATCTTCAACTGCTAGGATCGTGGAAAGCACAGTAGGGTTTTACACCGATGACGATGATGTGCAAAGATTGACGATACTCGAGATAAGTCTTGTTTCCAGACTGCTGGAACGCGAGGAGATGCTCGTAGCTGCATAAAAGCGAATCACGGGCCTCCACTGTTTCGGGGATCGGCGTCGTAATGGGCGTGGAGTTCTTCTTTGTCTCCTTGATTGCGAAGGATTCGCGGTTCAAAGTTGCATACCAGTGGGCTCCAGCAACTTTATGCTATTCCATTTGGTATATTCCCACTTTCACCTTATGCGTGGGGCTTTTCAACGGTTCATCCGGTGTGCTGCTGAGCCTGCTGGCCATGTCCTGTTTGGGATGAGCCAGAGCCATAAGATCTGCGATATAGCCATCCTATTTCGTCTCAAAAAGCCCCTTGAGTCAATACCCAACGGCGGGACGAAAGGCAGAAAAGGCAAAAAAAGAAGGGACGATTCATGAGCCAGAATGGAGGCGTTCTGTTGACGGGAAAAGTGGAATCGGGGGATCGCACAGGCGGAAGAGCCAAGCGACTCACGGATGGGGTTGCACCGGCAATGCAAACTATCGTACGAAAAGAGCCTGTCGAAGGTCCCCCCGTATGGTTGCTTGTTCAAGGCAAGACTGGCGTCGTCATAACCTCTCTCGAGTCTCTGCCACCGTTGCTGAAGTGCCGAATTCCGTCGGATGGTGAAATGAGGGGCGCACATCCTTTTGGCGCGTATTGCATCTTGCAAGTTTTGTATCCCTCCAGACTCTAGTTCTCTATTCCTCTGTACCCGTATGGCTCCTCCCCTCGTGGAGTTGTGCCCGGCGTGTCGGTGTGACTGTGACCTCAGAGCCCCAAAATGAGGTGCCGATCGGTACGCAGGAGAGAAAGGGAAGGGCGATGATATCCTGCCAGCACCTGCCGATATCCTGCCCCCAATTATGGCTACGACCGCCCCTACCTCCGACCACGGAGCCCAGCTGCCTATACCTACTTACTTACCTACCTACTTACCTACCTACCTACCTACTTACCTACTACTACTTTATTAACCTTACCGTTACTATTACTACTACTATTACTAATTAAAACTATTCCTAACGTTAATATACTATAAAAAGAGAATAATTATAAAATTAACGATCTTTTTATTTATTAATATACTATTAATTATAATAAATATAGTTACGTAAAATATAATTACTTATTTTATAATTAGTGCTTTTTTAACTTATTTAAAACTAAAGTAATACTTAACGAAGCTACTTATAAAGCTAGCTTTATAATCTAAATTATTTAATATAAACCCTCTATTAGAGTACTAATTACTATTACTTATTATTATATTTATAGCCCGTATTATAATTAAAAATAATAATACTTCGTAAAGTTAACCTATTTAAATAAGCGTTATAAATCCTTAACCTCGTTTATAAACTATTATTAATAAATCGCTACTAGCTTTTTAAATAATAACTAGCTCTTCTATCCCGTTATTAATAACTTCTATAACTATTATAACTACTTATTTAGCTATACTAATACTTTTATATATTATTATTACGTACTATTATATAATAAGAAGGGCTAAATTATTAATTAATAAAATAAGGGTATTTAACTTATTTAAATTTTTTTAAGCTTTTAGTTAAAAAGTAGCGATTATAGTAGTATTATCGCTTATAATATACTTAATATACTATTTACTTATTATTATAATAAATTAAATAGTAGATCCTTTATTAAATAGTTATTTAACTAATTATATAATTTTATAAAGTATTAGTACCGTTTCTAACGTAATAACGCGGGCTATATTACGAGCTTATTTATTATATTTATTACTACGATTTCCCTATTTTAATAATATTTAGATATTTTATTAATAAATTTTATATATAAAACTAATCGATTTAATATACTACTATTTAATATTTACGGAGCTACGAATAATAATTATACTTTTTAAATTACGAACTACTTTTTATTTAATAAGAAAAAAACTAATTATTATTAGGTTATTAACTAGTTATTAGTATTATTCTAGGCCTATAATATTCCCCTTTTATAAGTTACGTATATAGATTACGAGATTATTTTACTTAACGCTTTTAATAATAATACTTAATTTAAAGTAGTACTATACGTACTCTATTATTAGTATATTAATTTTAATATATTAACTAAGACCTAGTACTACTTTAGCCCGGTTATAAAAAATAAGACTAATATAGTTATACGTAACCCTTATTTTTAGTAATTCCTTATAAATTAAGGTAATCTCCTCCGTAATAAATTAATAGCTATATACTACGACCGATTATTTAAATTTAAGATTACTAAGTACTTTATAATAGTAGTTAATTATACTATTAATACTTAGCTTAAGCTATAGTATAAGAAAATTATACTTATTTAGGTTAACCGAATTAGGTATTTTAGTTACTTAATTACGTTAATTATTAAATCTTTATATATAAATATTAAAATACGAATTTATTACTATATAAGTAATTTTAAAGTCGTATTTAATAAATTAGTTATTTTTTAAATAAGTTAAGTAGCTATAATTAGCGCTTATTAAACCCGTTACTAAGCTAAAGTATTAAGTACTATTATAAAATTATTTTAAAAAAAGGTACGTATATATATATATTACGATACTCTTAGGTACTTTTTATAAGAACTCCGTATACTAAATAAATAACTAAATTTAGGTTTATATAAAAAGCCGTTAAAAAAGTACATACCCTACTTAATTTAAACTACTTATAGGCTACTTTATTACTATATCCTTTAATAATATATTAAAAATAGTATTTTAATATTACTAAAAGAGATCTACTTATATTAGTTTTAGTAATGCTTAGAGCTTATTATTAATAATAGTATTTCTACCCCCCTATTTAATTTTTTATAAATCCGAAGTAAGGGTCGTTTATAAGGCTTTATAATAAGTATTATAATAGTTATAGTAAGTATTATAATACTTAAATTAAAAAAGCTAGCGGTCGATCTAAGTACTTTTTTTAAACGAGAGCCCTTTATATTTAAGTATAAAAAAGCTATTAAACGTATAAAAGTAATACTTATATTAATACTATTACTATTAATAATACTTTTAGTACTAAGTAAGGCTATTTTTACTTAATAAGGCCTTGAGATTATATATAATTTTAATATATACGAGCTTAGTATAAAGATATAATAGGGGTATTAATAAGCTATTATTAATATAATAATTAATATAGTTAATAATAATATAATTAATTTTATAAGGGCTCCTTAGCTATTAATACTTATAAAGTTATAATCCTAATTAATTAATAATTTTATATAGTTAAATATATTATAGGATCTAGCTAATAAGGATTATTTTTACGATATTAATCTTATAATAAAAAGTAAAATAAATAAACTTATTAATAAATACGAAGTTAAAATAAAATACAAGATTAAAGTAAAAGAAGTTACTAAATTATAAGCTATGGGCTATATAAAGTAATTAATAATTAATTAGGCTAATTTATTAATTATTATACTTTTTACTAAAATAATTTAATTAACTATAAGTTAATTAATAGTCTCTAATTAGCTTAATCCGTTTAAATACTAATTATATAAAGCCTAGCTTATATATATACTTAAGACTAGCGGTTATATAGTAGCTATAGCTATAATTAGTAGTAGAATAGCGGTAGGTGGTGGCAGGATATCATCGCCCAAAGGGAAGGTTTCATTGCGTCCGTATTTCCCGGAGGAACCCTCCCCAGGGAGTAGGGTTGCTTTCTTGCTTAGTTGCTCCCCTTTTTCTTTACGGACCTCGTCACATCACTCCATATCATGCGGGCTCTATAACGGCAACGCGCAATGCCTACTGGCACATTCGCGTCGAGCATGAACTCCGTAAGCGCTCATAGCTGACAATCACTTAATGTCCTTAGAACATAATATACCTGAGCGGCGGCCGTTGGCCCGTCGGGTGTTGCTGATGAAAAGGCAAGCATCTGGAAGCTGACTACGACATTTGTGACCAAACACGGCAAGGGGGCACAGCCATTCAACGGCTCGTAGTGTGGGGGCCGCGATAATCGAGAGAGAAGGCTAGAAGTCTAGATTCAAGTAGCCACGCAGCCTTGTTGGACGGAAAGCCACGAGAATGCCCTCTGCTGACGGTTCATCTCGGACACTCGAGAGCTTGCCTTCATACGTCCGTAGCCTCATGTAGTGTGCAGTGCGGCTGGTCTTGGCTTTTCCCCTAAGGTCCTCCTCATCTTTACTAACTCAAGCGTCCAACGTCGCGCAAGGCTTGCCTCGAATAAATTACAGGCTCTCTGCTGTGTGTTTTTTTCTCCGGTTTCGTATTCTCACGACAGGGAAAGAGATGCGAGAGTGGAAGAAGGAAAAAGCAAAAACTTTCTGTGCTTCCCGAAGTTCGAGCTAGTCGTAAAGGGGCTGAGGTTCAGGTTCTGATCAGTGCTCCCGCTACGCAAACCAAGGTTGTCCCCTCCGCGACGTCGGTGAAACCGTGAAACAAAAATACACAATGCTTTTCTCTTATTCCATATTTCTTTGCTGTCCCGTGGAGCTCTGCCTTTATGTGTTCATGCTGATAAGGCTCTGTCGACCGACTAAACGACCTTATCCAATGATCGCCCGTCAGCAGGGAAACAACAGGGCCGCCGATGGTGGCATAATCCCGTTCTCGAGACTCCCGACATTTCTCGTGAATGTAACTTTCCAGCGAGTCTATCTGTACCGTGTTGACAGGGTTACAATTTGCCCCATCAAAGAAAGAGAGTTCCTAGGATGAATGCGAGAGAAGACCGTCTGAACTTAACGTCGCGGAAGAGGTAGATAGGAAAAGGTTTGGCTGGACTCCGCGATACGGCATTGGGGCTGAACATGGGACGATGTGAAATTCGGGGGTGGATGATGATGTTCAGGCACACAAGCAGGGGGGCAGAGTGACGAGGTAGCACAGACTCACAAGATGGATGTGTGGTTTGGTTTTGCTTCCGTTACTCGACAGAGACCGAGACTACCACAGTAGAGTGTGTTCCTGCAAGAGTGAGATGGAGGGCTGGCAATCTGCGGGCGCCGCATCCATGTGCAACCACACCATAAAACAAAGTCTCGGGGTAAGGAGATGAAGCCGTCACGCTGTCTATCACTGTACAATGGTATGATTGTGAAAGCTTGACGAACCGACGGTCTTGACTGCTTCGGGACACGGGACGGCGAGACATGCAGAGAAGCGGAAATGTTGTGCTACAGCCCGAACGTATGACAAACCGACGCAGCCCTCCCTCTCGAGGCATTTTACTTTCTTGGACTGGCTGCCGTCTCGACAAGCTGCAGAACCGCTGAAGATTTCCGGTTGCTGCTAAAATTGCGTTTGGTGTGCTTCGCGAAGCGCTTGCGAAATTCGCTACATGCAGCTCTTGTAAGCTCATTTGCTGTGCTGGCCTTGTCTCGTCAACCAAGAGACGGGCGTTCCGGGTCAGCAGCAACCATTGGGATACGAGATATATGATGTAGGTCACACCTCAAATCTCTCTGTGTCTGTCTGGCCGAAGTCCTCGATGTGTGCTATTGACATCTAAATACAGGATGAACCCTTTCTAGGTCCTCCAAGTTGGCAATGCTTCATGTTTCCTTTATTGCAAAGTCATGCCCGAATGTGTTGGTGATCAACATTATCACTACCATTCTCGAGAGTTTCACCCCGGTCCCTTAGAGCGACCCTCTTTTTGGACTCTTGAGCTCTCAGACTCTGGAGCCCTGCTGGTGGATTGAGCCATACTTTTTTCTTACCTTACCTTTACGCTACCACTCTATTCGCCGTTCGGCTGCATGTTCCCCTGCTCCCTGGTTCCCTCTTCACCCAGTGGATCCGGAACCAACAGGAAGAGGAAGACCCTCTTCACGCATCCCAGGCACAGGCACAAGGCCCCCATCAGCTGGCAGGGACTCCCGGACTTTGTGAGGTCAGCTCAATACCAGATCCGGCAGTATCTCGTTGGACCTTGGTGACTTGGTGCCTCACAGCGGAGTACAAAGTGTAGCAACCATGACTGCGCTGCTGGGGATTAGCCAGCAGGATCCAAGGCGATTGGGGGAAAGTTTGTGGATGTCATCGACGACCTCGTCCAGGTCCTGGGCAGAGCAAGAAGAGCGGGCAAGTGGACGAATGAAGGCCTTTGCTGGCATTGCTCTCGCTGCCCCGGCGCGCGTACCTGGCGTGATGGGTGCGCTGCCGTGGGACCCATCACGATTGTCACCATCGACTGGTAGGTTTGGACCAGGGGAGATGGAGGAGGACAAGTTATGCCAGCACCGCCCTCGTCCCTGGGCGGCGGCAACGATGGATAAGGACATGGGGAGCGTTGCCAGCGTGGACCAGCATGAGCTCATAAGTTTCCTTGACGACACGGATACGGACGCGGACGAGTTTATCCTTTGCTCGTCTAATAACTCGTCTCCTTCTTCTGTTCCCATTGCGCACTTTCCGATCGACGAGAACGAGATCGACAGAGATCTTTCATCAACAAGAACCACCAGAAGCACCAGCACCGACATTATTTCCAATAGTATCCGTAATAATACTTCGTTTTACTCTTCCGCACGCTCGAGCTTTTCGTCATCGACAACGACAACAGCAACAAATTTGACTTTTACAACGACATCGGTATCGACAGCCACCACGACAACGGCGACAATGGCGCCAACGACCATTACCAACAGCTTCCTCAGCATTGGGGGAGGTGACAACAACGCCGCTAAGAGCAATGGCAAGAAGACAGCAGTAGCAACAGCGGAGACGGCGGCCGGTGGACGGACCAGCGAAGATAGCGTGGACCGGTCTCACGGCCTCTGGAACTATTTGCATCACGGACTCGACGGGTACAGCTCGCCCGATCTGCGTTTGCTCCAGCACAACCAGCAGCAACAGCAACAGAGCCAGCAACAGCATAAACAGTCCCCTTCGTCATCGTCATATCATAACCTCTACTTGCGGCCCGACTCGTCGAGGAGCCACCAGCACTTTCACTTTCCCCGGACGAGCTCCGAGTCGGGTTCCCGCTCTGGCACTGGCTCTACCGCGACCGCGACCGCCAACTCGACGACGTCGACACTGAGGAGCGGCAAAAGTCACGAGAAGAGCAACAGCAGCGGCAGCAAGAAGACCACGGCGACGACGGTGTCTGCCGCAAACTCGGCGACGATGGCTGTGAAGCCGGCAAAGGTCAATACCACCGGATCAGCAACAATTACTGTGCCGCCTCCGCCGGTGTCGCCTTCATCGTCAGGGCCCTTTGGGGCGCAGATGACGAAGCAAGAATTCGAGGCGTTGCCGGAAGCTATTCAGCGAAAGGTGAGCAAAGACATTTTATTTGTGTGATCTTGTTTTCCCCTTTCTTTGTGGACCTGATTTATCCCCAACCGAGACTTCGCTTTGTCTTCTCTGGTGCTCTCTATTTCTGATTATTTCGTTCCTAATTGTCCGCCTTTGCACTTTGTCTCTTTCTCTTTACGGCTCCTCGCTCGAGCACTTTTCTATCAACCCCAAATATCTGCCATTCCCATATGCCGTCCCAATGGGCAGCATTCCTTTATTCGCAAGTGCCGAGTCTCTCGTTGCTTTACTTAGCGCAGCCAGCTAGCCAGCCCCCCTCCCCCCAGCCGAGGAAGTTTGAGCCGAGAGACACGCCATCTCTTCAAATTTGAGGACGGAACTACGGCGCCCGTTTTTGTTTTATTCCACTTCATTTTGTTTCTTTCTCGTCCTCGGCCCTGTTCTGCTCTGCACGGGCGTATTTCCCGTGGCCATTTGGCCCAGCCCTGGGCAGAAATAGAGGCACAGACTGCAGTAGGGAGAGTTGTCAGGGACACGGATGAAAGTGCGCTCGGCCGGTCACAAGGAGACGAGGGCGAGGCGAGGCGAGTCGAGGCGCCTTCTCTCCGCCTTCTTTTCGGATTCCTGAGCGTTCGAGTCGAGGGAGTGAAATGAGATGAGGATGAGGATGAGAGACGAGAGTTTTGTCTGCCCGTCTGACCTCACACTCATCACCGCTCGCTCTTCTGCTGGCTAGCTGGCTGGAAAGGTCCAGACCGACCCTGGACAGAGCTATTCGTCTCCTCCAATGAGTCTCCGACCCAAGTCCAGGGTACCTTCACCTCGCCAACCACAGCCGCCCGAGTTCCGCCGTATAGCTGCAGCGGGGACTCGCGGCTGGGGGGCCGTTCAGGTACCCATCGATGCAGGTTGGCTCGCCGAGTCGTTGCCCAACTGCAGCATCGGCGCCGCGGAGAGGATACACTTACAGCGAGTGAGAGTGAGTGAGGAGAGCGAGAGTGAAAGTGAACTGTCCACTGAGACATGCACCCGAGAAAAGAACAGCCTGCTTCGGGCCCTCTCCCCCGGGAAGCAGCTCACAATCATCACCTTTCCGTCCAACCAACACCCAGCACATCTCGTTCTTCAATCTCTCTCTGCCCCCAACTCGCATCTTCGTCCCCACACCCTCATGCACTCGGCTCCCAATATCACCTTCATTCGCTCGGGGGGGGGGGGGGGCGGCCAGTCAGCATTGGCGTCAGGCACAAGGCATAGGCGCGGGTGGCACAAGGTTCCCTCTTCTGTCCATATCTGCGTTCATGCTCATGCATATGCATAGCTGCCAACCGCTGAAGAGAGCGTTCTCCCCTTCCGCACATAGCTGAAGATGAGCGAATTGGGGGCGCAGGCCACGATGTAGACCGACGCGGCGGCAGTCGTTCACGAACTCGCATATGACGAATCGCATCGTGTTGTTGAGTGTATTGTCATCACAACATCAACAACACCATCATCAACACCAAGACCAAGTCGTCCAATCTCATCATCTCATCACTCGTTGCTCGTCAAGTCTGGTCTTTACACCGTCGGGTCTCATTCGGCTTGCCTTCCCCCCATACGTGCTGCACAGTTCGATGTTGCACTATCAGCACAACATGAGGCGTGTCTCTCTCATGTCTCTCTCTCTCTCACTCTTACACTCACTCTCGCTTTCACACACACAACGTACCCCGGCCTGCCAGTTCAGCCATGAACAGTTCCCGTGCCGTTGTGCAACCCAAGCCCGAACGACATGTCTCACTCGAGTGCAGAAACTGGGCCCAACCATCCGTCATGTCTCTCCCCATTCCCTCGTTCGTCCACTCAGTCCAAACCCCCGATCCTCCTCGGACTCCCTCCTCACCCATCATTGCTCATATTTGCAACGGCGGGCCTATCTCTTTTGGTCGGCAGCACATCCCAATTCCCACATTCTATGGAACCCACCCGGGCCACCAAGTGGTGCCGCTGGCTGAACGGACAAGCGAGCTAAGCCGCAAATGCTCTTGGTGAACTTGGTGCGGCGTGGACTCTAGAGCTATTCCCGCATGGCGTGTGCCGTCCGTGTCTGCGTCGTCTTGTCTGTCGTCTCTCCTTGAGAATAGTCACTATGCACGCACGGCACATGCACCCGCACTGACGCTGAGCATGGTGCTGATGCACTGACCTGACTTGACATGCATCACGGACTCTCTCACGCTCTCTCCCTCACTTTCCCTCACTCACTCTCCCACGCAAGTCAAGGAACTACCGCCATAGCTCCCTCCTACGTACTTGTCTTTGCCTTCCGGTCTTCTCCCCCCCTGGCACCCAGCCGCCCCTCCTGTCTCAATTGACGGTTTGGAGCTTTGCGTCCAAAGTCATGGGTCGGCTCCCGGGCTGTTCCTAGATTGCCTGTAGAAGCAATCCCAATCCCAGAACCCCGAGCTTGTCCCTTGAAGGCCGGGGGGCTGAATTGAGTTCGAGCGTCGCTGATCTCGATGTATTGGGATGGCGTTCAAAGTTGATTCGAGCAAGTGCTCCTCTCTCTCTCAAAGTATCTCTGCCTATGGGTACTGCAGCTTGATGACTGCGGTATCGCACCCGCTCCAGGCCAGCCAATGTCCATTCCAAAGTGATTCCTTCCTGTGTCTGCGTGTCTCTGTACCTTCGTACATCCTGTCCTCAGTATGGTACGGCAGCTGCTCCATCCGTCATGCACCTCAGCAGATGCAATGCAGGTCCCGCTCATAAGCACCACCGCAACACGACGCAACACGACATAGGTGCGGTGCGGTGCGGACGAGCACAGTCTCTGGCTCCAGTCCCATACTCCATACTCTACTTTTAGTAGTGCAAGTGGAGGAAACACGACGTCTCCCTCCCTCTGCTCGTTCCTGCATTAAGACACTACATATCCTCCTTGTTTCTCAATTCCATTCTTGCCCCCATCTACATTCCCGACCACGCCTTTGTATCTTTTTTTTCTTCCTCATCTCACTCACAACTCTTACTAAATCCTTCTTCAGTACTTTAGTTCCCTCGAACGTCTTCACTTTGCCAGTCTTGCTCCGGCCCCTACTCCGCCATCCACACATATCGACATCTACTTTGATCGTCCAGACACCGCACCCACACCAAAGACATTAAAGCAGCGCCGTAAAGAACGTCAAGCCAGACTTGCATCCGACCAAGTGTCCGACCGTGTCAAGAGACGGCCTTCCCGACGTGCCAACTTCCGCGCTTCGACGAGCTCCTCCGTCTACGTACGACTGCCCGACAAGATTCGGAAGAGGCACTTGACTACCGAAGAGCAGATTGTTGCTTCTCGAAACCGGAGACACGACATCATCCTTGACCCGGCTGATGAGGCCATCTACAAAGTTCGAAGACGAGCCTCTAGCCTAATTGTTCAAGACGAGTTGTGGAGTCCGACTCTATCGGTGAGACCTTCGACGATGGAGTCTCGGCGGCCGAGCCAAGATACGAGGAAACAAATGCCCAAGTCGGAAGAGAAGAAGCCCCTTGAAGCTCAGAAGAAGCGGGACTCCTTTTACGACAGCTTCCGTTGGTTGGAGGAGGATGACGACCTAGACCTGCGTTTACATCTCGACGATTACCATGCCAATTTGCGAGAGGATCTACCAGCCAACTCGAAACAGCGCAGGCCGTCGTTTCGTAGGCACCTGTCCATATCAAAGATACCGTTCGGCCGCAACTCGCTCTCCACCAACCGCCCCGGTACGACACCCGCCGGCGCAAGCCATCCCACGACCCCATTGTTTTCGAGTTCTCCAGTCAGCCCTCAGACAAGCTCTCCGGGACACGGCCGGCGAAGATCACGGGCGCTGTCTCTGATTTCACCAAAGCATAGTCCCCAGGATACTGTAGCTGCCTTTGATCCGGAGGCTGCACACTACCAAGATCCCGAGGCCCGGCTGAAGCTGCGAGTATATCTGGCCTCCCCTCAAAAGTTTGACGAAGCCATCGAGTTCGGGTTTCCTTCAAAAGAAGCCATGATCACCACCAAGCCTAGCAAGGACGTCAAGCCATTGAAACATCGACAATCTAGGGCAGCGTTGGTGGACGAGTCAGAAAATCTCCGCACCTTTCTCGCCGACGATCGGTCGTCGATCTTCAGCGATGATGGATCCCTTGATTCGGATTCTCCCAAGACACCCCATACAGTGGAGATGACAGCGCTTCGGCCGCCGCCCATCAAGAATGATCAGCTTCATTCACCCAAACCATCAACGGAATACGCACGGATGCCGGCAGAGGCGAGAGAAATGACACTGCGCATGACCCTCACCCGACCCGACCTCCGAGCCCACGAAGATCAAATGTACGGCTGGCAACAGAAGCCATTACCGCCCAGGAAATCCCAATCGAACGGCCTACGAGACGAATTTCCGACGTCGACGTACGTCCGAGATGCGTCGTCAAAGGAGAGCATAGAACGTCAGTTCGCGGCCATGGACCAGGAAAACGCTCAGGCCAACGACCGAGGCGTCATGAAGCGCTTTTGGAATAAGGTCCGTCGAGGACCGGCATAGCGCTCACCATTCCTTTCGACCATGCTCGGACCCGATGCTCTCGAATCGCAAATCTTACCAAACGCCCGTTAGACACAGGCAGCAAGATTGCAAACAACAACACCTGCATAATGAACTTAGAAAACAGCACTGTTTCTTATACCCCCATTCAATCTGTATACTGCCGAAATTCCATAGTGTCTATTATTTCCTATCTCAACAAAATTCTTCCAAAGCGACCTTTTCTGGGGTAATTGTATTAGAGCTGGGAGTCACTGTTAGAAGAAGCATATGGGGGCCGGGGGGAAGGGGTAATGTGGTAGTCGGAGAGGAATCAGGGCCTTTAACCGCCCTTTCCGCCTGTCACATTTGACTCAGTATTACGGATACGTTGGAGGAGAGAAAGGTCTAGAGAGATGGCAGATCTTTTACCTAAAAAGGGGGGGGGAAGCAAAGAGTTGCATAGGGTAGCATCGTCAAGTGGGAGAAGGGAGGAGGCACTCACGCGCAAAGCGTCAACAGAATAGGCCAAATCAATTAAAAAAAAGAAATCATAAAGAATCGACGTCCGCTCAAACTCTCCAGTGATTCCCCATGTGGTGGGTGCATGGCCACGAGGGAGTGATGGGCTGCATTGGTGACATGCACCTTGTGTCACAAAGGGAGGGGATGCAGTGTTACCTACTGTGAGCACGGCACGATGAAGGGGGGACTAGGTGCCAAGTGTCAGTCACTCTGACGGGCATGATAGGCACTCAACCGGCACAGTGGACGAGTCTCGAACCAGATTGATGGATCGTCTAAATCATGACTACAAAGTGAAGGTTGGTACACTATCGAGTAGAGTAGGAAACGTAGTACCTAGGGAATACGGATTATGTGAACAGTCAACGTGGCTCTGAGCCTCTGACAAGAGTCTGACTTGACCCAGGAACCTGGTTGATAGCCAACTAGCTTTTAAGCCCTACTAACGGTCGGACCCCCTCCTTCCCTTCCTTCGTCGGATGTTCCGAGGTTTGGATTACAGTAATATGGTGGTCGTTATAGGGCCATTTGAAACGAAACAGGCGGTTACTGCGTAGGCTGGCGTAGCAGGGAATAGTGGTGATATGGATTGCATGTTCTGGAACGGAGTGCCGAGGTCTGGATTTTCCTTGATAACAGGGTACCTGAAGTTCATTACCAGACGTAGTGATACGCAGGATAAGGCAAGCAGCCCATTTTCATTTTGGAACATTGATTCCAGAACTTTGAAGGGGCCCCGGAGACTTGGAACGGGATTGAACTTTGACGGAAGAGTTTGGACGTCTTGGCACTTTGAAGTTGTCAGTGTGGTTGAGTCATGATGGGATGAACCCTGGGATCACTTTGTTGTCATGGCGAGCCGCTCGGATCTTTTTTTTTTGTCTTGTCCTTCCCTGATTCTTCCTCTCTAGTCTGGTCCCTTGCTTCAATCATTGCTACAAACATTCGTTGGAAAAACGTTTACGGGAGAGAGGGGGCGGGGGCAATTTTTTTTCACACTACGTTAGTGCCGTCCTTGATGTTGGATACTGTGGTACGGATAGATGGACGATGTGCGTGAATGGGGGGTTTGTGCTTTCGTACCGCGTATATGGAAAGGCTGGTCAGAGGGAGGGGGAAAGGGAAGCGGCAGGCAGAGAGAGAGGGGACTGTGCGCAAAGGGATGGTATCATTGGTATGGCTATGGTGTTGTCGTTGGGTCTCTAGCACGCGCGGGATGGCATGATGTCAAAGTCTTCCCTGCCTACTCCGTACTCCGTACTCTCTGGAAATAAACCACAGTGTGTTTGCGTTTTCCAAGGAGGGGAAAGGGTGGCTTCGGGAAGGTTGTGTTCCGTTGAGA